CGGCTTTGCCTGCGCCTCACCCCACGGCTCTGCCTGCGCCTCCCGGCCCGTCAAACCGCCGGATCGCCTTGCTCGTCAGGTCGTCGCGGTGCGTCGACGCCAACGAGTTGTTCGAGTTGACGTCCTCCCGCGAATGCGCCCCTCAGGCGCCTTCGCGCTCGCTCCAGGTGCTCCCGTCTCCTCCCTGCATTCCTCCCTCTCTCCTCCTCCTGCCTTTCCTCCTCCCTCCTCCTTTCCCCCTCCTCCACCTCCTCCCTCCTCCCTCCTTCCGTCATCCTCCACCTCCTCCCTCCACCTCCCCCTGTCCCCCCTCCCTCCTCCCTCCTTCTCCTCCTCCTCCTCCTCCTTCCTCCTCCTCCTCCTTCTCCTCCTCCTCCACCTCCCCTCGCCTTCTCCTCCTCCTCATCCTCTCCTCCCTCCTCCTCCTCCTCCTCCTCCTCCTCCCTTCCCCTCTCCTTCTCCCATGCCCTCCTCCTCCCCCTCCCCTTCCTCCTCCTCTTCCTCCTCACTCCTTCTCCCCTCCCCTCTCCTACTCCTCACTCCTTCCTCCTCCTCTACCTCCACCTCCCTTCTCTCCCTCCTCCTCCTCCTCCTCCTCCTATTCCTCTCTCCTCCTCCTCCTCCTCCAATTCCTCCTCCCTCCCCCTCCCTCCTGGATTCTCGCGCCTCCTCCTCCTCCGCCTCCGCCTCCTCCCTCCCCTCCCTCCTCCCTCCTCCCTCCGCCGCACCCTCGGCCTGCTCCCCCTGTCTCCGCCCTCTCCAGTGCCCCGCCCGCTTCCGTTAGCGCGGGCAGGACTTCGGCGGGGCGGCCCCCCCCAAGAGGCCGTCCCTGATGGCGGGCGTCGCGTGGTACTTCGACAGCCCCTGGCCAGCAGCGCCCCGTCTGCGCCTCTTCCTCCCTCTGCTCCCTCTCCTCCCCCTCCAACTCCTCCTCCTCCTCCTCCTCGTTCCTCTCTCCTCCTCCTTCTCCTCCTCCTCCTCCTCCTCCTCCTCCTCCCTCTCCCCCTCATCCTGCCCCTCCTGCTCCCTTTCCTTCACCTCCTCCCGCCTCTCCCTCATCCTCTTCCTCTCTTCCTCCTCCTCCTCCTCCTTCTCTTCTTCCTCTTCTTCCTCCCCCTCCTCCTTCTCCTTATCCTCCTTCTCTCCCTCCTTCTCATCCTCCACCTCGTCCTTCTCCTCCTTCATGTCCTGTAGCGTGTGATTTTGACACTGCTCTTTTCCATCTTCTTGCTCCTGCTTAAACTCCTGCTCCCGCTCCCCACCGTCGAAATCCGACACAATATGCTAGAACCTTATTTTTCAAGCTGTGCTTTCATATTCCATTTTCCTGTCCATGAAGTTCTAGTCTTACTTTGTAGCTTGAATGTGTTGCTTCCTCCTCCTCCTCCTCCCTCACCTCATGCTCTTAGTCTTCCCCCCTTATCTGGCTGCTGTCAAGACTCATCTACGCCCTCTCCATCTTCCTGCCGCAAATCCTTCTGGATGTAGCCGTCGTCGTCGAGGCACTTCTCGGTGTTCGCAACGATGCCCTGCAGAGCGAATGTCACAATGAGGGAAAGGGGGATGGGGGAGGAGGAGGAAAGAGGGAGGAGGAGACGTGAGGGGGAGGGGGAGGAGGAGGAGGAGGAGGAGGAGGAGGAGGAGGAGGAGGAGGAGGAGGAGGAGGAGGAGGAGGAGGAGGAGGAGGAGGAGGAACAGAGAGAGGGAGAGAGGAGAGCGAGCGAGAGACATACATTCATATGCATCTAGAAATATAGAGACATTGCTATATATATGTATATATAGAGAGATAGAGAAAGAGAGAGAGAGAGAGAGAGACGGATGGAGGAGAGGGGAGAAAGGACAAGCCAAGATGTGTGCGCTCGCGCCACACCTAACAGTTCATCCCTCCCCTCCGTCCCTTCCCATTGCGCCGATGTTTTCTCCATCTGCGGAGTCGTGTCATAGCCGGCCTGGAGCTCAGCCCCTCCCAGAACATCATCGTGTTGTGCGCAATCCCAGCCACCATGGAAGCTGCGTACAGGGGAGGAGGAGGAGGATGATGATGAGGAGAAGGAGGAGGAGAGGGAAGGGAGGAGGAGTTGGCGGGTGAGTAGACGGGAAAGGAGGAGAAACAGGAGGAGGATGAGAACGGCGGGGGACGAGGACGAGCAGCAGCAACATTAACTGTAATGGGGGGGACCGGGAGGAACAGGAGGACCAGGGGAAGGCGGAGGGGAAATGATGGGACGTGTAATTGAAACAAAAGGGGGCGACAACGATGAAAAAGGACTCGGATCCAGAAACGTAGACCGCGCTGGGGCGAGATCACCATTCTGAACGACGGCAGGAAAGCGCCGATCCGAAAATGAGGCCCGCTCTGCAGCGGGAAGACCGACCGTTTCGAGACACCGTAAACAATCGGATGGTAAACAACCGCAAACAATCCAAAACATTGAAACCTGGTGTAAAACAAGCAATGCGTATGCGGAGATCAGCGGTCATCTTCAGGACGAAGTCGGGGGAGCGATGAACGCATTCATACCCTGTAATTGTTAGGCGCGCTCGCGCCATAGCTGACATCCCACCCCTCCCACCCATCCCTGGAAGTTCAAAGAGGATCCCATCGTGTTATCCACAATCGGAAACTGCGTGGCTGCGAAAAGAGGAGGAGGAATGAGAAGGACGAGGACGAACAACAGCAGCAGGACCTTGAGTGGAAGGAGCGGGAGGAGCAGGAGGACCAGTGGAAGGCGCAGGAGGGGAAACGAGGAGGGCGACAACGATGCAAAAGGACTCGGATCCAGAAAAGTGGCTCGCGCTGGGGCGAGGACACCACCCTGAACTATGGGAGCAAAGCGCCGATCCGAAAATGAGGCTCACGCTGCAGCGGGAGCACCGTTTGGGTAAACAACGAGAACAATCAGATGGGAACACATAGTGATAACAACAACAACTTTGGAATTCCTGCGTTAATCATTCAAAACGCGGAGGGAGCCGACTATCTTCGGGACAGGGACAGGGGAGATAGGACTGAAGAGAGTAGTATTCATACATGTATTGTGGGTGAAGATGAAGATGAATATGATGCCGATGCTGATGCTGCTGATGATGGTGAGGATGGTGATGAGGATGAGGAACAAAAAGGGAGAGGAGGGGAGAAGATGGGGGAGCAGGTAGGAGAGAGGAGGAACAGGAGGACGAGCAGGTGGACGAGGAGGAGGAGGAGGAGGACGAGGGGGTGGTGGAGGAGGAGGAGGAGGAGGAGGAGGAGGAGGAGGAGGAGGAGGAGAGGAGGAGGGAGGAGGAGGAGGAGGAGGAGGAGGAGGAGGAGGAGGAGGGAGGAGGAGGAGGAGGAGGAGGAGGAGGAGGAGGAGGAGGAGGAGGGGAGGAGGGGAGGAGATGAGGAGGAGGAGGAGGAGGAGGAGGAGGAGGAGGAGGAGGAGGAGGAGGAGGAGGAGGAGGAGGAGGAGGAGGAGGAGGAGGAGGAAGAAGGGAGGAGGAGGAGGAGAGGAGGAGAGGAAGGAGGAGGAGGAGGAGGAGGAGGAGGAGATGCAACAACAAGAAACAGACGGAGGAACACGCGTGCCGCTGGGAGGGCCCGCGCTGCGGCACCGGGGGGCCTGCCGCCGGCCCGCGGCCTGCGGCGAGGGCGCACAACCCCGACGGCGCGGCTCGGCTCGGGTCGCCGGCCTCGGCAAGGGCCCGCAGGTCCCCGTCGGGGGGCGCGGGCGAGGGCGAGGACGAGGACGAGGACCTCCCCTCACGGTGGGGGGGGGCGCGGGCGAGGACGAGGACGAGGACGAGGACCTCCCCTCGCGGTGGGGGGGGCGCAGACGAGGACGAGGACGAGGACGAGGACAACCCCTCACGGTGGGGGGGGGAGGCGGCTGCCGCCCCCCGCCGCCGCCGCCGCCCGCGGGTGAGCGCCCGCGGGGCAAGTGGCTGCGGGTGCTGCTGTTTTGGGGGGGTCCTTCAGGACGCAGGGGCACGTGCTTCGGGGGCGCGCAAGCACGGATTAGCGATCCATGGATTTGGCGCGCGGTCGCCGAATCCATGGATCGGGGGAGGCGCTATCCCCAAAACGCGGCCGGTGCCGCCTCGCTCGGCGGCGGAAGTCCGCGATTTCCTATGGAGGCGGGGCCCGTCGCTAATCCACGCCCCCTTGCTCCATGTTTGCGATCGCCTGACACAGGAGCGAAGATCGATGACGAATCTTACGCGAGACCCCGTTTTGTTTCGTCGCTCACCCGTGCGGGGCCAGAGCTTCAACTTTCCAAACTCACGTCGAGGAAACATCCTGCGCAGTGTCTCCGGGCTGCCCGCAAAGGGCGAGGGCCCCGGGGGGTCCCCCGAGAGCGCTGCAGCAGAAGCCCCACGGAGGTCCCCGGAGGCTTTCAGAGGCGAGGGCAAAATGCCGAAGCGCGCAAATCCTTCGTTCCCCCTGTGCCAGACATCCGACGATGCGCTGTTCTCACAGCGCGGCCCCAGAGGTCCCGACCCCTCCCCACGTGGTAGTTTTTCGTCCAATATCTCCTCTTCGGATGGCCCAGGGCCGTGAGAAAAGGACCCGGGACGAAAACTTTCCCCCCTTGGGGAGGGGTCGAGACCTCTGGGGCTGGCTCACTCTCCCGGCGCTTGCTCGGGATAGCGTCTCGAGCAGGAAAGCAGGCCACATGTTCCGGCCCGTTGTTCGGCTTCTTCAAGGACTTCCACCTCGTGTTGGTGACGCTGCTCGTACGCAGACGCATGTCCTTCTATGGCACTCCCGCGACGGCCTACATGGCTTGATCGGGCTCCGTCCTCTTCTTTTTCATTCGTCTCTCTCTCTCTCTCTCTCTCTCTCTCTTTCGCCTCGCAAATGTTTCGGATCATGAGCGGCCCTTCAAGCCAACAGCCCTTCCGGCCCTGCGTCGAGCGAACACCGGCGGCCCGCGCAGCCTCCGAGCAGCCACGCTCGTCGGTCCTTTGATGCCTCAGCGCATCCCCGTTCGTTGAGGAAGGCGCTTAGGCTCTCTCGCTCCCTGCAGCCGCGGTGCACCAGAGTCCTGCCGTGTTCGCGCTCCGATGTGGCGGCTCTGGCGTGCACGCGAGCGCCGCTCGTCCACGGCGAGCTCCTTGAGGGGGGCCTGCCGGCCTGGATCTCGGCGACGCCCTCCACCCCGGATCGATGCCACGGAAAGCCAGGAGACCGTGCGCACCCTGCCGTTGCAGTGCATGGCTGTTGATCGCTGGTGTATCACCACTGATTCTTGGGACCGCACCAGGCAAGCAACTGTTCCTTGGCTGACTGTTGCGCTGGAGGGGGGAGAAAAAAAGAGGAAAGGCCAGGAGAGTAGTTCGAGGATCGGGCTGGGTCTCTACACCCCATGCGAGAAGGTGTGCCCGTTCAGTTGAAGGCGGGCGGTGCTGTCCCAGCAGGGCCCGGGGTGAGGTCCCCCGCACGCCACTAGGTGCTTAGCCAGATCATGCAGAATAGTCCACCTCAGTGGGCGCCGAACACGACGGGAAGCATCGAACACGCCAACAGACCCTGGCGGCGCTGCCCCCCCGGTGAGCGCGGACGTCCGCTGCATGCCCCCCTGGGGGCGAAGCAGCAAGAAAGGCAAAAGGCCCCTCGAAGCTCGAGCCTCGATCGCTCGACCCCCGCTGCTCGACCACCCACCGCCTGCTGTTCCGCGAGGCCAGGCGGTCGGCGACGAGTGCACCAGGAAACCTCGACCCCCAGTCCTCCTTGATCCTGGCTCCTGCTCCTCCTCCTTGTCCTTCTCGATCCTGGTTCCTCCTCTTCTTCCTCCTCCTCCGCCTCTTCCTCCTCCCCTCGGTGTTCTTCTTCTTCTTCTTCTTCTTCTTCCTCCTCCTCCTCCTCTTACGTCTCCGCAATTCTTCTCCTCCTCCTCCTCAGCCTCCTCCTCCTCCTCCTCCTCCTCCTCCTCCTCCTCCTCCTCCCATATCTTCGCTTACCGTCCTCCCCGTTCTCCCCGCTCCTTCTTCAACTCTCCCTCTTCGATCCTGCCACTCCCTCCTTCCTCTCCCTCCCTCGATCGTTCTCCAACTCCCTCCTCGATCTTCCTCCCCGCTTGCTCGCTCGAGAGGGCAGAACAATACGTCCAACGCAAAGGAAACCAGAGCACAGGAATTTCAGCATGGATTCATGTCAAGGGATGGAGCATCAGCAGCGGTAGGGGCGCCGATAAGGTCGACCACCGAGAGGGTCCACGCCGACTTCTGCCCCGGGGTCCCGAGGGACGGGTGGAGCGTCGTCGAACTCGGAAGACAAGGATCGACCTAAACAATGTTTCTCGTTGTTAGTTTTTGGTTACCCTCGTTGTGTCTTACCCGTTCTTGCCGCAAAACGAGCTCGAAACGACAACGGCACGCGGTATCGCCAAAACACCGTTTGGGTCGACCCCTGTCGGATGACGTGCCACGGAGCTCGCTCCCGAGGTCGAGGGCCTCCGCGAGCTCCGAACAAAACCTGCTGCGTGGCGTCAACATCAGGAGGCCCTGCGACGCCCGATACGGCAGCCTCCTCCTGGACCATCGATTCTCCTCCTCTCCCTCCTCCGCCTCATCCTCTCCCTCCTCCTCCTCCTCCTCCTCCTGCTCCTCCTCCTCCTCCTCCTCCTCCTCCTCCTCATCGTGCACCTCCTCCTCCTCCTCCTGCTCCTCCTCCTCAAACCTCATTGGGCCTCCTCCTCCTCCTCCTCCTCCTCCTCCTCCTCCCGCCTCTCCTCCTCCTCCTCCTCCTCCTCGTCTCCTCTCCTCCTCCGCCTCCTCCTCCTCCTCCTCCTCCTCCTCCTCCTCCTCCTCCTCCTCCTCTCCCTCCTCTCCCTCCTCCTCCTTCCCTGAGAACCAACGCCACGACATATACTAGCCATTGTAGCAACAACTCGACTGGAGCCCTGGACCCCAGGGTCATTACCGTCCCTGAACGCGGTTCCTAGGGAGGAAGACTCCAGACAGGCTGCAGCCTTGTCGCCATGGCTGGATTCGGTGACTCGTCGCTCCTGGTCGGGCTTCCTTGTCCGAGGCGGGGTGTCAAGTGTCGGCGCGCGCTGCCGAGGCTGCCGAGGCAGTGTCGCTTGCTCCCGCGGGGGCTCGCGGGAGCCCCATGGAGTCCTTCTGGTGCTCGCGGGCGGGGCCCAGTTAGCGCCAGGGTTCCCAGGGCTCCTGTGGTGGCTCGCCAGGCTCCCCCGAGGGCCACGTCGTGGTCCAGGTGGCGCCTCTCGGCAGGACGTTGCTTCATCTGCAGGTCGTGGGCTCGTTGCTGGCGTCGCCAGCTTCCCCGCCCTCCCTCCCTGGCTTGTCGGGTGCGTCGGCCAGTGGGGTCTCCAGATTCCCGTGAGGGTCCCTCGCGCGCCCCAGGCTGGCCGCACCGAGCACGCTGCCCAGAGGTCCGTGCGGGCGCACCGGACCACCCGAGGGGCAGACGACCCACTGGACTCTGCTTGCATTTTTCGGCCGCGTCAATCCGTGAGGGTCCCGGGGCACGAGCGCAGGCGACGCATTTTGCCTGTTGTGAGAACTGCCCCGGCCAGAGCCCTGTGATGCCGGCCGCGGCGAAGAGACGGGTCGAGGAGCAGGGGTGGGCTATACGGGGGCCAGGGCCGCCTGGACCAAGCGGGCAGCCAGCACTGAAGCGAGATCACGTCTCCTGAATCAGAGGCGAGGAAGCATCAGGCGAGCAGGCTGCCGGACCAACCGTCCTCGGGCTCCCCGTGCCCGTGTGGGACTACTCTGTGCACCTTACTTCCCAATCGTCCTGTGGTGTTTGGGCCCTCGTTTCACAGAGACAGCGCTGCGCGCTCCTCACTCCTCTTCCCCTCCCGGCATCGTCGTCATCATCGGTAGCATGACCATCGTCCTCATCATCTGCATCATGCGTTGGCCTAGGGGAATTTCGGCACACCCAGCACACGTTTCGCGGCCTCACAGGGAGCTCCACCGAAGGCCCCAGTGGGAGGGTCCGCATGGCGGCCTCGAGCCATTTCGGCACACTCCTCACACGCTTCATGGCTCCATAGGGAGCTCCACCGAAGGCTCCAGTGGCAGGGTCCGCGTGGCGGCCCCGGGCCACTCGGCACACTCCTCACACGCTTCGTGGCTCCATAGGGAGCTCCACCGAAGGCCCCCGGAGGCAGGGCCCACATGGCGGCCTCGGCCCCTCGCGGCACTCGCAGCTGCATATGGGCTGGGTCCGTCGCCAAGCTAAGATTTTTGCACGGGGTCGTGGCCGTCTGGACCGCAAGTGTAACCAGCATTGGGGCGAGAACGCGATTCCCGAATAAGACGTGAGGGAGTCTTCAGCGACATGGCTGCTGGCACCAGGTGTCCTCGTGCTCCCCATCCCCCAGTGGGATTCTTCGGTGGTCTGGGTGCACCTCCGGCAGAACGCTCTCCGATCTTCCTGCTCCTTCCTCCGTCCCCCTGGCACTCGCTTCCGGGCCCCCCAGAAGCTTTGCCATCGCTCGGGTGCCCAACTCCCCGTGCCTTTTGCGGTTTTGTGCGCTCTTTTTGGTTGGTTGCTCGATGGATGATCCAGGATGCTCCTCGATCGTCCTCGCCGAGAAACAAAACGCACGCGTCCGAGCTGTGCCCGAAAACACGAAACACTCACGCACGCAACGGCCGACGGGCCGTGGAGCCTCGGCCTCGGACAGGATGCTCTGCGCGTGTACCAGAGCGTGCGCCACGTTCCTGAGGGTGATCTCCTCTCGGCTGGCCTCGTCGTCGTCGTCGTCGTCGTCGCCCTCGTTCTCCATCCTCCTCCTCCCTGCTTCTCGTCCATCCTCCACCATACCCCTCCTCGATCCTCCTCATACATTCATTCCCGACTCCATGCGCGCCAGGGGCATGCACACTTTTTTCGTTGGCGGCGAGGCAGGACTGCTGCACCAGCAGTCGGGCTCAACGGGGCTAGGCAAGAGCGAATTGCCCAGCGTGCAAGAGGGGAGACCGAAACAGACACGGCGGCCGCGGAGGAGGGGGGAGGCAGGGGGCGCTCCGAGGCGGAAGACTTCCGTCCTGAGTGCGCTGGCGCGGCCAGCCTCGGCAGCGGGGACCGTGGCAGCTGCCAGGCCGCGGCGCCGGTGCATCCACGGGCGATGACGACTCCCAGCACGCGGAGGCCCAAGGTACCTGCAGTGAAGCCGTCCAGGTGGGGGCCGGCTAGGTACTGCAAGTGGCGAAGAGGACTCTGCATCTAGGTTTCAGACTGCCACCTGCGAAATGCTGAGCCCGTAGCGTGACGTGCTGGGCATCAAAGCATAGCCCAGGAGCGCCGCCACCCGGGGGGTTGTTGCCAGCCGCGGCTGCAGCGTCAGCGCCATGGCGGCGCGCGGAGGGAGGGAGGGAAAAGGCGCAGCGAGGAAAAAAGGGGGGGGGCAGGGAAGAGGAGCGCCCCGCCTGCAGGGAGGTCCCAGCAGGCGGGGCGTCGGTGCCGGGCGGCCCAGCGCCAGCGGAAGCTGCCTGGTGTGCGGCCCATGCTGTGGCCATGCTGCGGCCAATCCCGCCGCTCGCCGCGCCAGGGATCACGCTGTGGCCAGGGCCGGAGCGGGGCGGGTGTCAAAACTGTGGCCCAGGCCGAGGAAGGCGGCCGTCCCAGGGAACTGCCTGCATCAAAACTGTGGCAGAAGCCGTGGGGCCACGCGCTGCCTGGGTGGACAATACATAGCGGGTCTAGGAGCACGTAACCAGTGCAGTAACATGTGTGAAAGGACTGCGGCTGAAGGCGTTCAATGCCACGCGCTCTGGGTGGACAGTACGTGGCCGGACCAGGAGCATCAACCGGTCCAGTAACCTGTGTGACAGTACTGCAGCCGAAGGGGTTGAGTGCCGCGCGCTGTCTGCGTGGACAGTACATGGCGGGACTGGGGCACCTAACCAGTGTAGTAACCTGTGTGAACGGACTGCGGCAGAAGCAGTTTAATGCCACGCGCTGTCCGGTTGGACAGCACATGGCAGGTCTATGGGCACCTAACTGGCGCAGTAACGTGTGTGAATGAGGGCCGCGCACTGTAGCAGAGGGCAGCGCTAGGCGGCCAGGCCGCGCGCGTGACCTGGGGAGGGAGGCAGGCACCGAGCCACGGTGCCAGCCAGGTCGACTCCCGCGTTGGTGACCCTGGTCGTCAGGGAGAGCAACGCGGGGAAGCCTGGTGCTCGGTGCTGTCTGTTACCCGGCGTGGCCGTGATGCCAAGGGCCATAGAGGCTGGGTAGGCCCGACGGGTCGCGGCGGCCCGGCCTCGACTGATCGTTGTTGGGCCAAGTGGGGTCGGCGCGTCTCGTACCTTTCCCAACCGGGTCGTTGCCTCCCCTCTGCCCCGTCCCCTGTCGCGCTGCCGTTCGCTGCGCTGAAGCTGGTGTTCCCAGACTGCCCCCCAGTCCATCTGGACCCCCCTCGAGCTGCGGACCCTCCGGATGTCGTAGGAGGCGTGGTAAGAGGTCGCCCATGAACTCCCTGCAGAATTCGTCGTGCCCCCTCGGGGCTGCAGGTGCCTCGCGCTGGTCCTCGGCCGTCTCGGGCATCGCCAAGGGCGCTCCAACCTTCGACGAAGGACGCGCCGCATTCCCGCTTTAGCGGGTTGACGCCTTCTGGCCAGGTCTCCCAGGTTCTGGTTTTGTAATTCCACGCCCGCTGCCGAGTGATCTGAAGGGGCCCAAGGGCACACAAATAAATACACACAAATAAAAATATTTCCCATATTTCCCGATATTTTCTGGGTTTCTGTCTTCCCCCCCCACTTCCCATATTTTCCCATATTTTCTGGGGAATCGAGGATTAACTGTGTCTGTGTGTTTCTTTCCCTCCGGAAGATCATCCAGCGGGTCCGAATGTACAGCGTGCCGTTGTGGTCGTCGTCGCCGGCGTAGCCTGCATCGGCCCGGGGAGCTCCGTGCCTCTCCCGCGCCTCTGGGCCAGCGCGGGGCAGGCCAGTGGTTCAGGGGGGGGTTCTCGACCCTTGGTAGTTGGCCCAGGGTTTGGTGTGCTCAGTCCTGATGGTTGGCCACTGTGCTCTCGCTCGCCCGTCCCAGGGGACTTGCGTGCTCGTCTGTCTCTGGGCTCGGTCGTCGCGGCAGGCGCCGTCGCCGTGCCGTTGCCGCGGCGGTCGCCGGGGGGCCGGGTCCACCTGCGTCCGCCCCCCGCTGCGTCTCCTGGGCCGGTGCTGCTGGCCGCCGCCGTGGCGTGGTCGGCTGCGTTGGGCTCCGTGCTGGGGTGCGCCCAGGGGTCTTGAGCTGGGGCGTCGGCGTCCTGCGGGCTGCCGTCGGGAAGGCTCGGCGAGTGGTCGACCTCCACCTCGCCACTTCCAAAGGGTGCCTTCTGACCTGGGGGCGACGGGGCGGTTGCGCGGGCCTCCTGGGTCGGAGGGGCCTGGGCGGTGCCTTGTCGGGAGGTGCAGAGCTGGCAGGCTGTGCCTCCAACCGCGCGGCAGGTGCGACGTCTGCTGCACTGTCGTCTGCCTTTGGGTCAGGGTTCCCCTGCGGGCCTCTCCCTGGGGCGGGGCTTTGGCCGCGGTGGCGCTGCCCCACGGCAGCATGCGATGCTCGCGATGGGTTTGGGCGCTCAGTCTGGGTGCCTGGGGCCTGGGTACTGTTGGTGGTTGCCTTCGCGACGGCACTCGGGTCCGCCCCGTCCAGGTCGTCTGCGCTGGGCTGGTATTAGGCCAGCGCTGGCGATGACACGCTTTGCGCGCCCTGTATGGTGAGGAATCTTGTGAAGTGCTGTTGACAGAGGCACGGTATGTGAACAGGTGGGGATGGTCGGAACCCAGGTAGGCGAGCTGTTGACAGAGGCACGGTATGTGAACAGGTGGGGATGGTCGGAACCCAGGTAGGCGAGCCATCGCTCGAGCAGGTTGCCCGTCCGATTGGGCGCGCGCCACTTCTGCCTGATGAGGCAGGCAACCTGTATGCCAGGGCGGCGCGCCTCCCGTCCCAGGCGCGTAGTCCGTCGTCTGGGGTCCTTGGGCCGTAGATGCTGCTAAGGAAGACCTTGCAGTCATCTTTTGTCCAGGCTCGCGGGTCCAGGGGGACGTCGTGGGGCCCCATCGGGGCTCAGTCGCTGCTGCTTCCGCTCCTCTGTCCACTGTCGCCAGGCCGTCTCAAGGTTGTCGCGCAGCGTCTGGGCGTATTGTGCCATTGTGTGAGTAATGCTTCAGTCCTCCTTCCCCTTCTTCGGGACTGGCTCGACCAGCTTGGGGGAACGTAAGGTAGCAGCGTTCCGATCGACGAGGGCGGGACAGGGCAGGGGGTGCATTTCGGGGAGATCGAGGAGGATACATCAGTTGTGGAAAGGGTCGGCCAGGGAGGAGACTGCGATTTCTTCCCGGCGTGGCAAGGCGTACGCTGGCCACGTGGCACCTGACTGCAGCAGTGGGCATTGGGCGAACGCGTCCTTCCCTCGCCTGTGTAGGAACCTCAACAGGATATCTGCATGAACTAGGCAGGGAGCCTTGGAGACGTCCTTGGGGAGGGCGGGCGTGTAGTCGCCCCACTGGGAGGGGTGCTTACCTGCTGCCCAAGAGACCAGGTGGGCGAGCATGAACTGGCGGCAGGTGCTTTGCCAATACCAATCAGTCAGGCTAGTAGGGTTCCAAGACAGGCGCCCAGAAAGGCCCGATTCTGGTCTGGCGGCGCCATGCTGCCCTCACTTAGAAGTTGCGTGCGGGGCTTGATGCACCGCTGGTTGATTGCCGGGCCTTAGTTGGCTCTGGCGAAGTGCGCTAGGTCCACTGGGCCGTCGTCGTCCAGGTCGTCTGGGGAGGTGGCTGCGGCAGCTTGTCTGGGCCTGGGGGGTATGGGGCCCGTGCCCTTGGGGCCCGGGGGCCAACTCACGTATGGGGGGCGCCTCGTCGCCTGCCGCCGGGACGTCGTCGCTCCACCTTGGTTGGGGGTCCCGGCTCCGGGGGCCCCTGTCTGCTGGGGTGCCGGGCCTGCTGCGGTCTGATGTCCGTCGCGTCCCCCGGGCCTGTCGCGTGGCTTCGCCGTCGCCCTCTGCCCGGCGGTGGAGTGCGGTCTGTGCCTTCTGGGCGGCGGCTGCCCCGTTCGCTCCCAAAGTCTCCCCCGCCCCCTCTGCTGGCAGATGCCGAGGCAGGCGACTTGGTGCGCAAGGGCTGGTCCTTGCCCCTGCGGCTGGGGCTGGCAGTCTCCGGGATGCGGGTGGCGCTCCCCCTGGCTGCGCGCCGGCTGGCTTCTGCGGCCGGATCCTCGGGAGGAGGGGCGGCCGCGGTCCAGGGGCTTGCCTCCTCGGTCTTCGCGCGACCCCCGTCGCCGGATCGAGGGAGTGGCTGCGCACGAGGGGGCGGGCGCCTCCCTGGCTGGCGGCGCGACCGAAGTCGGTGGGCTTGGCGCGGCCTGGCCCTCTCCGCGCCGACTGCACGGCGAATGGCTCCCGTTCGGCTTTGCCACGTGGCTGGCCGCCGGCGGCCTGGGCTGCATCGCCGGCCTGGGCGCTCTTCCACGCTCTCAGGGGGTCCAGCTCTGCAGCACGCGCCTCTTGCATCCTCTCCCGATCCTGTGCGCCCGCGAGGTGGAGGATACCTCGCGCAGGTGCGGGTGGCTCTCCCAGTGGCGGGATCCCGGCTCATGTTGGGGACGCTGGCGCCCGCTGACGCCTAGGCGGGGGGTCTGGGTATACCTCGATGCGGTCGTTGCCTGGAGCCCTGACCACGTCCCAGCGCCGCCGCGTCCCAGAGGTCGACCAAGCACCGCTCGCAAAACCACGTGGCGTCCCACTGCATGGCCTGGGAGGCGCTCGTAGATTCCTCGAAGTGTTGCAGGCCCTGCGCAGGAGACTTCGGGTCAAGGTCGGCGCGGGGGGGCCTCCACCCCACCCCGAAGGTCAGCTCTTCGTTCCTGGGCCGTCTTCCGACTGGCCCCGCGGCCCCGACGCGGGCCCCACCCCCGAGGGCGCCCGGGTGGCAACAGAGAAGCTCGAGAACGAATCGGCCGACCACGACCCCTCGATGGCAACGAAAGATCCGTGAGAGGATTCCAGAATCTGCCCTCGTTTGTGAAAGCTGTTCCCAGCCGTGGTAAGGAGAAGCTCACCTGAGGTCCGAATTCTCGAGCTAAAGTGCAGGGGCGTTGGGAAACCACAACCAGAAGGCGAGGAGGAGGAAGAGGAGGAAGAGGAGGAGGAGGAGAAGGAGGAGGAGGAGGAGGAGGAAGAGGAGGAGGAGGAGGAGGAGGAGGAGGAGGAGGAGGAGGAGGAGGAGGAAGAGGAAGAGGAGGAATGATAAGCAACAGCAGACTAATCATAATGCCTGAAACTACCCAAACACATTCGGGCACTCCTGGTTCTCATTGATTTGTGGATCCTCGGCGCCATTCAGATTTTGGACATTTCGGCCATCGCCAGCACCATGCTTGTTCATCCGACCCCAGGACTTACGGGCGCTCAGCGACCCCCCGAAGGCCCAGGAACTTGAAGAAACCGGCCGCGCCATTTTACTATTTGCTTTTCCCCAGACAGCTTGTTGAACGGGGTGCTGTTGTGGTAGAAGCTAACTCCGGCCGAGGGAAAGGGGAGCAGAGACATCCTCACAAAAATCTGATGGTCCGGGCCGTTTCGCTTAAGACATCCTCGCAACTCTCGTTTCTGAGTTGGCCGGGATTGGCCGTTTCGCCTGAGACATCCTCGAAAAGTTGCGCTCCGGGACGCCGCGCGAGAGGTGGTCCGGCCCATTTCGCCTGAGACATCCTCGAAACTCTGAGCTCCGAGGTGCCGTGCGAGAGGTGGTCCGGCCCGTTTCGCCTGAGACAGCCCCAGGTCGGGTCCAAGAGGCCACAGGAGGCCCAGGAGGAAGCCCCAGGAGGTTCCCGGGATGCCCCAGGAGGCCCCAGGAGGCCCCCGCAACTCGGAGCTCTGAGACGCCGCGCTCGAGGTGGTCCGGCCCGTTTCGCGTGGGACTTCCTCGCAGCACGTTTCGCCCGAGACATCGTCGCAACTCTGGGGTCCGAGATGCCGCGCGCGAGGTGGTCCAGCCCGTTACGCTGGAGACATCCTCGCAACTCTGGGCTCCGAAATGCCGTTCGGGATGAAGAGGAGGTGGAGGAGGAGGAGGAGAAGGAGGAGGAGATGGAAGGAAGAAGGAGGAGGATGAGGGAGCAGGCATCATGTTATCATGTGCAAACATATCATGTGCAAACATACTGTCATCATTGTCATGTTCTAACATGCCATGCCAGCCTGCACTGGACGGGCACGCGATCGACCTTGGAAACCGCAGTGGGTTTAAAAACCCTGTTTGGGGATACTGCACTCTGGCTATATTTGTTTTTGTTTTTTCTTGTTATGCTCTCTTCCGTTTGTTTACTTGCCTGCCAATCAATCAATACATCTGCATGTTTTGCATTGGCGTTTTCCCCCAACCCTCCAGTGTTGTGTTCTCGTTTTCAATCGAGCAGTCAGTCTCTACCTTCTCCTCATCCTTGTTCTCTTCTCTCCTCCTGCTTGCCTCATGCCTCCTGCCTCGCCAGTCTGTCTGAAGGTTCGCTGGGGGCCTGCGATGTGCGAAGCCACCGCGACTTTTGAAGGTTGGTGGGGGGGGGGCCAGCGTACTTGGTATCAGGCGCGGTCTCGGATTGGACTTCGGGGTCTGCGAGCTGAGAAACTGTCGCCACTCCCGAAGGCTGGTGGTGGGGGGCAAGGCAGTGGGTACCAGGCACGGAGTCATACTGGACCTCTCCATTCCTTGGGGGCTGCGAGCTGCGAAGCTGTTGCCACTTTCGAACGGTGCTGGGGGGGCAAGCATGGTGGGTACCAGGCGCGGCTTCAGATTCGACCTTTCCATCCTTGGGGTGCTGCGAGGTGCGAGAGCGTCGCCACTTTCGAAGGCTGCTGGGGGGGCCATCGGAGTGGGCATCAGGCGCGGGCTCAGATTTGACTTATCCATCCATCCCTCGGGGGCTGCGAACTGTCGCTAGTTTCGACGGCTGCTGGGGGGGCAAGCAGGGTGGGCACCAAGCGCGGATACATATTATACCCTTCCATCCTTGGGGGCGGCAAATTAGGAGAGCGTCGCCACTTTCGAAGCTTGGTGGGGGTCCAGCATAGTGGGTGCCAGACGCGGGGTCAAATCAGACCTTTCCATCCGTGGGGGGCTGCGAACTACGAGGCCGTCGCCGCTTTCGAGGACTGCTGGGCGGTGCCAGCGCAGTCGGTATCAGGCGCGGATTCAAAGTGGACCTCGCCGTCTCTGGGGGGCTGCGAGCTGCGAGTTTGTCGCCGCTTTCAATGGCTGCTGGGGGACGCAACGTAATCGGTACCACGCGCAGACTCATATAACACTTCGCCATCCCTGGGGGGGCTGCGATTTGCGAAAGTATTGCTGCTTTCGAGGGCTCCTGGGCGGCCAGCATATTGGGTGCTGGGCGCGGATTCGGGCTAAACCGCGCTAGCCCCCAGCGGCTGCGAACTGCGACCGGTTTCGAAGGCTGCTTGTGTGTGTCTGTGGGTACCAGGCGCAAATGCACATTCGACCTCGCCATCCCTCGGGGGAATTGCGAACTGCGACGCTGTCACAACTGTGGGTGGCTGCTGGGGAGGCCCAGCGCACGGGCGCCATGCGTGACGGAGCCATCGTCGACGCGGGGTGTCAGGACGATGGCGACCTGGACAGCCTGTGTTTGCATCTCTGCGTGATGCCCTCCAGGGCCACGAATGTCGACCATCTCCTGGTGATCTGGGGCCCGGGGCTGCAGTTCTTTTCTCGCGGGCCGCCCGCGGGCCTCGCGGCGCGCCTGCGCGCCTTTACCTCCCGAGCTGAAGAAGTGTCGGGAAGAGGCCGAGCTGCTGGCAGTGCAGCTCGGCCGCGCGCAGTGCTTGCACTGACTACCACTGACTGTTAGCATGCCTCGAAACATCGTCCCTCTCCTTCCTCTGACCTCCTCTCGTCGTCACCCCTTTCCTGCTGCTATTTCCTCTCGCTGCGGCCCCGCTGACTTTCAGCTCCCGTTTGCCGTCTTCCCTTAGTCCTCGCTTTTTCCTTGCCAGAGACATGTCTAATTACCTCCATCCCACCCTTGTCCATCAATCGGCGTAGTATGAATCGCGAACTTCCCCAGTATCGCTCGCACGGAACAGGTCCTTGCCACGCCATCGTCCCGAACAAACTCTGTCCCACGGTTCTGGCCACGCGTTGCGCAAGGGTTGGGCACGTCGCAGGGGCAATTCGTCTGGTGTGTGCCTGTTTGTGGTGTTTGTTGCTGCTGCTTATCCGCAGCGCCGTATGCTCGGCTACACGCAAGAGTGACCCTGGGTAAGAGTGACCTTTGGTGCGCGGCTTTTTGGGGGCCGCGGGGGGACCAAACCTGGGCGCTCAAGCCGCTGCTCCTGCTCCGTTTTCAGCCATCTGGGGACCCATCTGTGCCCGCACCAAAGGTCACTCCGGCGAAAGGTCACTCTTACGTCCAGTCGATGATGTCCGCCGGGCCGACCCCCCCGGGCGGGGCTCGGCGGCCGTCCGTCTCGACGGCGGTGGCCGCGGAGCCGGTGGCGGGCGTCGGCGACGGGGCGCCCTGCCGCCGCCCCCCCCGCCCCGGGCGTTTGTCGGCAGGCGTGCGGTCACCGGGCTGCCAGGAGCCCTCGGGGCGCGAAGAGGGCATGGCTTAACGGGCGAAGAGCGGTATAGAATAAACTTTCTCGCTGTCGGGGGCGCCTGTCCCTGGGCGGCTGGGAAGTTTATACCCCTACGGTGCCACCGTAAGAGTACAAACTTTCCAGCCGCCCTGGGACAGGCGCCGCCGACAGCAAACAAAGTTTATTTTATACCGTTCTTCGCCCGTTAAATAACGGGATACTTCCGGCCACTGTCGGCCTCAAGCCGCCGCACCTCCGCGGGCCCCCAGGCCGTGAGAGAACGACTCGGGATGGAAAGCCAGCCTCGGGGAGCGGGTCGAGGCCTCCGGGGCTCACGTTGTTTTAGGCACCCCAGCAGAGCACCCCAATCGCAGCAAAAGACCTGTGGGACCCTGGGACCTGTGAAACATGTAGAACTTGCGAGGCTTGTGAGACTTGTGGGGCCTGCGGGACCTGAGTGGCCTGTGGGGCCTGTTGGACTCGTAGGACCTTTGGGACCTCTGGGGCCTGTGGGGCCTCTCGGGCCTGTGGGACTTGTAGGAGCTAAGAAACTTGTGCGGCCTCTGCGACCGGCGGGACCTGTGGCGCAGTGCGGTACGTGGGACCCCTGGGACCTGTGGGACCTGTGGGCCTGTGGGACCTGTGGGGCCTGTGGGACCTGTGGGACCTGTGGAAGATGTGGGTTTTCTTGGACCTGTGGAAGCTGTGGGACATGAGGGGGCATTTGGGAACTATGGGACTTGTGCAACCTTTGGGACCTGTAGGACCTAAGGGGCCTCTGTGGCCTGTGGGGCCTGTGAGACCTGCGAGACCTGTGGGACCTGTGGGGCACAGGTGGGAACTATGGATTTGTGCGACCCCTGGGACCCGCGGGACTTGTGTGAACTTTCGGACCTGCCTGTGAGACCTGTGGGACCTGTGGGGCCTGTGGGACCTGCGCGATGTGCGGCACCCGGGGGGCCTGCGGGACCCTTGGGGCTTGTGGGACACGTGGGACTTGTGAGACCCGTGAGGCCCCTGGGACCTGTGGGACCCGTGCGGCCTATGTGACCTGCGGGACCGTGGTTGTTCAGCAACAGCAGTGCAGCCAGCATGGAAACGAGAACACGACTCCTGAGAGACATGCGAAGCAGTCTCCAGCGAGACGGCTGCCGGACCGGGCGGTCTGGGGCTCCCCGTCCCTGGGCGAGAGCACGACGCCCGAATCCGCCGCCGTGTGTCCTCTGGCACGAAGTGGAGTGCCTCAAAGCTCATGCGGCACTGCGAGGTAGGCGCAGTGCTGCTTTTGAAGCGAGGACTTTTAAGTCTGGAAGGTCCCGGACCAGTCGCATCCCAAGCTTTCCCAAGGTTTCCGGGGCTGGCTTCCGTGAGTTCTGGAGTGTTTCCTGCGCTTCCTGTGGACGCTGTGCCCCCCCAAAGCGAACGCTCGAACCCTCCCATGAATCCAAGAGGGCCACGAGTCGCCGAACGATCGCTCCAAGACGCCCAAGATGGTCTCTCGTTGGCGCAAGAGGCATCCAAAACGCCACAAGAGGCCTCCCAAGAGGGCCCCACGAGGCATGAATCGTTGATTCTCCTCTGGATTTGAAGAATTTTTGCGTTCTCGCCTTTCCGGCTTTCGGACGCCCGTTGTCGGCCCAAGACGTCCCATGTTCGCCCCAAGACGGCCCAAGAAGCGGCCTTCACGAGGGCCCCGAGACGGCCCAATAGGCCTCCAAAAGGTCCCCAAACGGCCCAAGAACAGTCCAAGATGGCCCTGGAGGCGCCCGATACGGCCCAAGAGGGCCTCAAGACAGCCCCAAAAGGGGTTCAATAGAGGGAACAGGCCCCAAGATGCCCCTAGAAGTCCCCAAGATGTGCTGAAGATGCCCTAAGAGGCCCCCAAGAGGCTCCCCACGAGATCCCCAATAGTATCCAGTGTCAAGCGACATGGCTGCAGGTACTGGAGTTCTGGGATTCCACGTCTCCACCTGTGGTACTTGATGTTGCTGCTGCTGCTGTTGTTGTTGGCCAGTAATGAAAATCCTTTAGTGAAAAGCCATTCGGGAAGGATCATGTCATCGGGGGTCTGGGCAACTTGGCGGCCTTCTCGGCCGTCTTGCGGCAGACTGCGGGGGCCCTCGGGGACCGTCTTCGGCCGACCTGGGCCCGAAAAAGGCGAACACCCAATCCTGGCGGTGGACAAACCTCCCTTTAGTAAACCTCCCTCTAGTGAAAACGGCCTGGGACCGAAACCGACGGACCCGGACCCGCACACATGACGGCCGCGACGCCCTCTCGCGACCCGAAAACGGCCAATTCGCTAGTCGACGTGGCAGGGTGGGAGGTCTATCCACCTCCGACAGTCAGCGATGGAAGCCCTGTGGACAATCAGTGCTTCGTGCCCCCACCGCGGCCACGAAGACGACAGGACCGCCGCGCACAGAGAGCGCTCGGTGACGACCACGACGGCCACGGCCGCGGCGGCGGCCGCGGCGGCGGCGGCGCTTCTCTTGCCGTCGCTCGGACGTCCATTTCCCGGGCATTTTTCGGTTTCGTGCGTGTTTTTTTTGCTCGATGGTCCAGGATGCTCCTCCAGGGTCATCGCTGAGAAATTCTCCTGGCGAAGGTCCCGACCATATGCAGTTGTGGGTACCGTAATTGTGAATATCTGCTTCGGTGAAGCTCCCCATGGGGCCACGAAGCGCTGCACTGGGCGGGGGGGAACGCTGTACTGTGTGGGTGGTGTGCCGAATTGGGTTTCGGGAAGCATACGGACGGTCCCACTGAGGGCTTCGGTGGAGCTCCGTATGGGGCCACGAAGCGCTCTACCGAGTGAGTGAAAATGCCAAATTGGGTTTCCGGGACGCATGCGGACGGTCCCACTGGGGGCTTCGGTGGAGCCCCCTATGGGGCCACGAACCGCTGCACTGCGCGGGTGAAAATACCAAACTACATTTCCCGGACGCATACGGACGGTGGCACTGGGGCCTTGGGTGGAGCCCCCTATGGGGCCACGAAACGCTACACTGGGTGGGTGAAAATGCCAAATTGGGCTTCCGGGGCGCATGCGGACGGGGGCACTGGGGCCTTCTGTGGAGCTCCCTATGGGGCCACGAAGCGCTGTACTGGGTGTGCGGGACGCATGCGGATGGTAGCGCTGGGACCTTCGGTGGGGCTCCCTATGGGGCCACGAAACGCTGTACTGGGCGTGCGGGACGCATGCGGACGGTAGCGCTGGGACCTTCGGTGGGGCTCCTTATGGGGCCACGAAACGCTGTACTGGGTGGGTGAAACGCATGGAGGAGGGGGAGGAGGGCCGCGAAACGCTGTACTGGGTGTGCGCGACGCATGCGGACGGTGGAGGAGGAGGGGGACGAGGAGGAGAGAAGGAGAACGCGGGGACCGCCTCCTCAAAACGAGGACCCAACACCACAGGATGGCTGGGAAAAACACACACGTCCGAGCGATGCCAAGGCCCCGCCTCGTCGGCTGCGCCACGGGCCCGTCGGCGTCGCGCCGCCACGAGGAGCGCCAGGCAGGGAACGGAGGCGGCTCGCCGGCCGAGGCGGCGGGCCGCGGCCACGAGCAGGGCCCCCCCCCCCCTCTCTCCTGGCCCGGCATCGGCGGAGCCCAGAGCCCCGACGTGCTGATTCTCCCAGGACGCGACCCCCAGAGCTCTGGGCCCCCTCCTGCAGGGACAGGCTTCCCATCCCGGGTCGCTCTCTGACGGTCCCGAGGCCCCGCGGGGGCCCCGTACCCATCGGTCGGAAGAAGTAGGTAGAAACATAAAGTAGGAAGGCGTCGGAAATAGATTGGGCTTCCGCCCGCCTCCTGAAGAGGAAGGAAGAGGGAAAACCACTCGACTCTTGAAGTAGGAAGGCGCTGAAAGTAGATTGGAATCTGGGAATCCAAAAATACCTACTTTCAACGACCGATGGGTACAGGGGGCCGAGAGAGCAGGGAAAAAAGCCTCCCGCCGTGGCTCTCTCTCTCACGGCGCGAGGGGGGGTCCGAGGGACGGCCCGAGGGCCAGAGCTCCTCCTGGGCCCCAGGCCCTGAGGTCCTGGCGTCGCGAGGTGTGTCCACGGCGGGCGATTCTCTACCTGGCTCCTCTGAGCTCGGGGAGGGGCGGGCCTCGCGGATCGGCCCGTCTCGAGGAGCGGCGCAGCAAAATGGTGTCCGGCCTTATGCTGCTCCCGACGTGCGCAAGCGTCAGATCCCCAACATACTTTCGAGCACCCAGAAAAACCTCCCAGGGCCCGACACGTGAAAGCCCTCAAGTTTCGATGCTGTCTTGGTGCTCGAAATTCTTTCGGGTGATCAAGGCTGAACAAAGTTGGGACATCAAAAGTCCAGACTGGGAGATGTGAGATGCGGGTTGGCCTGGCGGGGCCGTCAGGAGAATGACGAGAGCCACTCCGAAATCTGACGCGAGCTCCCGCTGCAGACATCCCACGAAACCTTGACCGTCGAGACCCAGGGCGGGCTGCTCGTCAAGAAGCGCAGGCGAACCCCGAGCTCTGGAGCACTCGAGTCATACATCTCCCTGATCCAGGGCTCCGGTCAGACTTTGTGTTCGGCGTGACGTCGCGGTTCTTGTGCGGCGTGGGATCTCCGCGGTGGGCGGGGCTGCCCCGCCCCGCCTCGCCTCGTCGGCTCCGGCTGTGCGCGGGCAGCCCGAAGCCTGGCCGCCCCTGCCTGGAGTTTGAGGGGCAGGCCGAAGACCAGAGCTCGCTCCTGAGCGCAGAGTGCTCCTTACGGTGATGCCGGCGAGGCCGGCGAAAGCTCACCACAGAGCGCCCGCAAAGCAAGCTATCACGTACATCACAAAGTTTGAGATCGTCAATTGTTGCATTGCTCGGATCAGAAAACCTTCCATGAGGCATCCAGGGCCGGGAAGCGCGCGGAACGCCAATCGTGGATTGGCCATGGATATCACCGATTGAAGGTCGCTGGG